TTAATTGTGCAGGGTCAAATTGCATTAGGCAGCTATTCCACCAGCCAGTAGAATAAATGTTTTCCACATGCTTGTGAGAGACTGAATATTCACAAGATTCACAGTAGCTGAATGGTTTTAAGCTGGATTATATTAATTTGGTTGTTGTGGATCACCGCTGTTCAAGAAGAGGGTTTTTGCTTTGATGTTACTGACCTGAACCCAGAATCTAAACAAACACACACACTCACACACACACACACACACGTGTGACGCAGGTGCTGCGACTGACAGGCCTCTACAGTGCTGATTTTCTCCTGTAATAAATGACTCGACTAATGACACAGAACAGAGGAAAACTCTCTCCAGAGACGCTGCTAACCGCTCACACACAGCAGCTTCATTCAACAGCACAACATCAGCCGTTTAAACATTTTAGCCGGTTTATATGGACGCTTGTGTGTCTAATAGGCCAGTGATTAAGCGCTCAGGCGGCCAAAATCATTAGCAACCCAAACCTCTGCGCGCTCCGAGCGCTCAAACACTCTCAGATACACATCAGTCAGTTACTGCAGTCACTATTCACTTATTAATATTTCAAACCTGAAGTCGGTTATTGTTTCTAAATTATAAACACTAGAGGGCAGAATTGTTCAAAACTAAACATTTGTGACTTTACTGCCTAATAAACGCAGATTTATTAGAAGAGGCTCAACTAAAACATAAATGCTCCATAATACTAGTTTACATGCGTAAAATAGATAAAAGTTTGTTTCATAAGAATAAATATTAGAATATAATATTTTGAACCTTCAGCATAAAAGCAGCCTGTATCCTTTAGAGGCTAAATAAGTGAATAATGACAATATTGAACAATATATTTAAAGACCATTCAAGTTAAGCGTGGTTTGCTTTTATTGTCTATAACATTGAATACAGTAGAGCAAGTATCCTGATTTCATTTGAATGACTGTTTGAGAGAAACAGACTCTAAGTTATTATTTTACACACACACACACACACAGAGAGAGAGAGAGAGAGAGACACACACACACACACACACACACAGCGCACGCACGCGCACACACACACACACACACACACACAGAGAGAGAGAGAGAGAGAGACACACACACACACACACACACACAGCGCACGCACGCGCACACACACACACACACACACACACAGAGAGAGAGAGAGAGAGAGACACACACACACACACACACACACAGCGCACGCACGCGCACACACACACACACACACACACACAGGCTTTTCACATGACAACGTGACAGTGACAAATGCCAAATGCAGAAGAAAATTTATAGTATGAATGAATGTCTTTTTCAGAATTTCTCCAGAGACACTTGCCCTCTTTAAATTAAAAAATAAAATCAGAAATATATTTTGCACACAAATCTATTAAACAGCCCTGAATAACCCACCAGCAACACTGGATGCCTCTAGAATAGCTGATGTTATTTCAAAGCTGACTGTTTCGGTCGGTCTTTATGTCTGGGCAGAAGACAAGAGGAAATGAAAGCAGATTTCCATCTGGTTTTATGATCATAGATGTCACAGTCAGAAAAGTTTTTTGTATTTTGGGTAATGAACCTCAAGTCCATATTTTAGAACTTAATTTGGTCTAAACTCACATCAACACCTGTCCACAGACTGCTTTTACAGTGATATATGCATAACATTTATTTTGAGTGATCCCTATGAAATCATGAATTGCATGTTTTCACACAATAAAAACATTGATACTTGTTGTTTTTTACACGTCCAACAACACTAATTACTCTGCAATGTTCTGTCACAGACTCAATACACAATCAATAACATTCAGAGTAGGGATGCGCTGATACCATGTTTTCAGAACCGATCCAATCCGATACCAAAATATTCTGAGCATCGGCCGATACGATACCAGCACAGTTTTTTTAAATCAATGTAGAATTTCTATACCTCTGTGTGTTGACCTGATCATCACTGTTTTGTGTGTTAAACACAGCCTGCTAAATATAGACAACTTCATTATAAAGAAAAATAACAAATGAAAAATATATAATCATAATCTATGACAAAAATACTATACACTGTAAAATCCAATAGTTTACCTTACTTAGATTTAGTTAGTTATCTTTACTTATTTTACAGTGTATATATATATATATATATATATATATATACTATAAAATTAAAAAAGACAACAATAACAGTAGAATAGTAAACGCACAATATGGGATTTGGATCGGTCTGTTCTGACCGATATCTGGTGTCGGAGCCGATACCAAGAGTGAGTATGGGATCGGCTCATCCCTAATTCAGAGTCTGTGCGTCTGGATATGATTTTACAGACGGACTGATATCTGCATCTTCTCGAATGCCCACCAGAGCAAACGCACCGACACAAAACGCTTGATCGGGGCGGACGGTCATTTAGATATTAAATACACTCCTCTTCTCATTAATCATCAGAGCCCGACACCTCGTATATTTTCTCTCTTCATATTGTGGGAAACTTTGGGAGGCACACAGACTCATGCACAGTTTCATCTCCAGCACTTCGGTCTGTTTAATCAGCTCGAGCCGTTCAGTGAGCGCTTTAGTTTTCCCGTCGCCCTCATTATCCGCTCATGCTGTTATGCTGTATGCGCAACATGCGAACAAGCTTGTATGATTCAAACAGCCGATCTGAGTGCTTTCCTTTCCTTTTGTCAATGATTCCCTGCAATCTGCATGTGTGGACTTTTTTTGCAATCTGCACGTTTGACCTGAAAGACTGTGATCACTCCAGCGCAGAGGAAAACCTTCCAGTGCAGGAAAGGCTGTATTTGTGCGCTGCGAGTCTGGAGAAGAGGTGAATTTGAGCTGGAAGAGAGACGATATCGAGCGTGACTTCTACTAACAGAGGTTAATAAGAGTCCCCTCTCTCTCTCTCTCTCTCTCTGCTTTACAGTCCTCACAGACAACACTTCCTAACAGTTTCTGCATGCTGATCTGAATGAGGACGGCTATCGGTGTGGATTTCTATGCTATATTGAGGCAGGCTGGTTTTGGAAAGTCTGAGAGCGGTGGTCTCCTGCATTTTCCATCCGAGCCGCCGAGGTTCATCCATCAGCGGTGACAGGGAGAGAGAAAGCGATAGCCCAACATCACAGCCAAACCTCCAACACAAATAAATGCAGTGATTGTGCGCTCGCGCCGTTCATAAAGACCCGCTGCTGTCCGCGGGAAATATCGGCACGCCGTCTCAAATGAGGACATAAAATGTGCAAACTGCACCACATGTGTTCCAGTCCGACTTCCAGATCACACGAACAAATGCATTACGGTTTTTATAATCGCTAGGACTTTATCAATACTGTTCTAAACTCTTCACACAGTTCTCCTTACCAACTTTCAGTTTGGCACAGCAGTAAATTTCACATTCAAAATGCATGAAAACTACCAAAACACTTCATACAGTCTCACATCAACTCATTCTTCATAACACTAGCAAACAAACACTTTATCACTCATAAAACACTGACCTAAAACACTAACAACAGGGACATTACACGATGTTTTCTTATATAAAATTTATTTACACACAAAATAACACTCTCTACTGTTCAGATTCAGTAGATGTTTCACACTTCATAATTTGAAAACTACCAAAACACTTCAATACAGTCTCACATCAACTCATTCTTCATAACACTAGCAAACAAACACTTTATCACTCATAAAACACTGACCTGAAACACTAACAACAGGGACATTACACGATGTTTTCTTATATAAAATTTCTTTACACACAAAATAACACTCTCTACTGTTCAGATTCAGTAGATGTTTCACACTTCATAATTACAGCACAACATTATTCCTGAGGTTTACCTTTTTGTATTTATGGGAATGAAATTGAAAGACTCACACCTGTGTAGTTGTTCCACTAGTTTATTTTGATAGTGTTTCATGTTTTTGGAATATATTTCAATATGGTATTACTGTAGAAATGCAAGAAATGTGTTCAGTTTTGCATTTTGCTATGTTTTGAATAAGTTGATCGGTGTTGCAAACGTGTAAATTGGCAGGTTCATTTGAAAGACTGTGATCACTCCAGCGCAGAGGAAAACCCTCCAGTGCAGGAAAGGCTGTATTTGTGCGCTGCGAGTCTGGAGAAGAGGTGAACTTGAGCTGGAAGAGAGACGATATCGAGCGTGACTTCTGCTAACAGAGGTTAATAAGAGTCCCCTCTCTCTCTCTCTCTGCTTTACAGTCCTCACAGACAACGCTTCCTAACAGTTTCTGCATGCTGATCTGAATGAGGACGGCTATCGGTGTGGATTTCTATGCTATATTGAGGCAGGCTGGTTTCTCTCTCTCTCTCTCTCTCACACACACACACACACACTCTCTCACAGCGCCTGAATAATTGAATGGCTGGACGGATTTCTGCGGACTCTGAGAGGAATATTCAAAGGACTAAAAAGGAAAATGAAAGATTTTAACATGGAAATGAACACGGACTCATGAAACGGAGGACTGGAGAACATGGACACATTGAGCAGAACAGAGTTCACCGTAAACTCATCTGTACTATTTTTATTTGTATGCTGATCGTCATGGATTTATTAGAAGTTAGTCTTATTTGTATCACTTTTAAACCATTCAAATCCAAACGCGAACTGTGATGCTCGATGAAATGGAGTTCAGTTGCCTTTCTAAAGTGTATAAAAAGTTATCAGAATCGAAATCTAATGCGACATGACTGGCTGATCGATTGAAGGACTCTTCTGGAAAGACCGTCGGGTTTAGAGGAGATTTACAGTCGCTCCGTCGTTTCTATTCATGTATTTTAATTCACAATAAAGAGCAGGACTATCAGGAAGGTTAGTAGCATATCATTCACTGCAACAGAAACGGAAAATAGCCAGGAAAACAATTAATAAAGCGTGTAAGGTGTCGGAGTGACCATGATTATAGTGTCCGGCTCTGCTCGAGACTAAGCGCTTCTGCATGAGTCCGAAATGAAGGAAAAGTCCAAGAATGCTGCGAAGACACGAAGAGAAAAAGAAAATGGAGAATTTTATGAACTGGCCAAACTGCTGCCGCTGCCCTCGGCCATCACATCTCAGCTGGACAAAGCGTCCATCATCAGACTGACCAGCAGCTACCTGAAGATGCGAGCCGTGTTTCCAGACGGTAGCTTACGATCCGATCTCAGACCGATTTGCACTATTTATGCAGCTTCACTTGTCACGTTGATTTGCAGTTAATTAGATCGTCTCACGATGCCTTTTCGTTTTATCTTCTTGTTTTAATTTTTTGATGTTTTAATAATTAATAAAAAAAAAAAACATTTTCAAGGGCGGGCGGTTTTTATTTAATTGAATGAATGTTTAAGCATTTGAAAAAACAAACAAACAAACAAAATATAGGCTATATACAGTATAATTGGTTAAGTTAATTAGGCTAGTTTAAGCGCTCGAAGTCTAAAAAGTTTAAAATAAAATGAATAAAAATAACGATAATTCGTTTTGATCAGATGCGCTCTGCGTGATTAAATGAAACCGATTACGATTCGGGGGAAATCGTGTGAAAATACAACGATAAAGAAGTGAATGGCTTTAGGTCTACAATATAATTCATAGCATTTTTTTCAGTTTCCTGAAAATAATTATTGCCTGTGTTATTTCCTCTTGTGTTTGTAATTGAACGTTTACCAGCTCACATTAAAATCATCGCAGATTCAATCTTTCTGTTCCCGTCGCTGTCAAAGATTTTAGCTTGGAGTAAAAATCTGCAGATTTTTTATTTGTTATTTCTTGCTGAGGGTCAAAATCTATATTTATAATGTGTCATAACAGATCTCAAAATATGCTCACAAATGGAAGAAATAAAAAGAATCTATTGCATCAGATTACATTGATGATATAGAGTCTATCAATTTAGCACGAATAAATGTTTCTTCTTTGCCTATAAATTATGCAGAATTCAAATTAAATTAATTACTTCTTTTAATTTCCGTTTTCGGCTACATGGAAGGATTAGTTTCAGATTAACAATATTAAATTAAACTATATAATGTGCTGTTGTAAAGAGTCAATTATTACACATATTGTCAGTTTGTCTTGGTAATATAATATGTGACCCTGGAGCACAAAACCATAAGGGTCAAATTTTTGAAATTGAGTTTTATACATCATCTGAAAGCTGAATAAATTATCTTTCCATTGATGTATGGTTTGTTAGGATAGGACAATATTTGGCTGAGATACAACTATTTGAAAATCTGGAATCTGAGGGTGCAAAAAAATCTAAATATTGAGAAAATCATCTTTAAAGTTGTTCAAATGAAGTTCTTAGCAATGCATATTACTAATCAAAAATTAAGATTTGATATATTTACGGTAGGAAATTACTAAATATCTTCATGGAACATGATCTTTAATTAATATCCTAATGATTTTTGGCATAAAAGAAAAATGTATAATTTTGACCCATACAATGTATTGTTGGCTATTGCTACAAATATACCCCAGCGACTTAACACTGCTTTTGTGCTGCAGGGCTCACATATATCATACGTAATAAAACATGGTTGTTTGTCAATCATACATTTTAGTATAGGATTTTGTTTTGCCTTTAAAATGTATTTCTGGCAAATAAATATTCTGTAGCTAAGTGACATTTTACCAATATGGCATAAAATCTGTCTACATGCTGGGATGGGCGTTTTAATTGACTGTCTAATCACTTAAAAGTATTTCATTTTATGTAATTATGATAAATACGCTACGGCTTCAGGATAATATTAGCCTACGTTACATCTAAATCCCCCCCCCGCCAGGTTGACAGATAAATATATTTGATTAACGTGTGATAAAAATATAAATAACTCCCGTTAAAGTGGCATTTAAATTAGGTTTTAATTCTAAGGCAGTCCGCTTTGCGAATTCTTTGATTCTAAATCATTTCTTCACAAGCATGAGTGTTGAACTCTAGCTTCTCTCGCTGTGTATGTGATTTGTGGAGCTCGACTGAATGTGCTGTGTTGTGTGTGTGTGAGGTCTCGGAGAGGCCTGGGGTCAGGCAGCACGGGTCAGTCCTCTGGACCTCATGGCCAAAGATCTGGGGTCTCACCTGCTGCAGGTGCGAGTCTTTAAGAACTACATGATATCTTGACGCTAATATCTTCAAACGCATCTGATGATTGTGCAAATGAATGATACGATCATGTGTTTAATGCACGTATGTTTTTATGTATTCTGGTTTGTTTTTCAGACGCTGGACGGGTTTGTGTTTGTCGTCGCGTCTGACGGTAAAATCATGTACATTTCGGAAACAGCTTCGGTACACCTGGGTTTGTCACAGGTGAGAGTTTAACACGAAACCAGGGTCAGTTCGGGGCCACAGTGATAACACTTCAACACACACATAACTGAGCCATGAAGGACACTATAACTTTATCTGGGGAATGTGAAGTGAATTCATTCACACTGTTGTTTGCTCAATATCGTCTCTGTTGAGAATTTCAGACTTTGAGATATCCAGATCTAGTCTATTCTTTCTGAAATCTGAAGAAAAACACTGAGGTTGTGCTTGTTTAATGTTTAGATTTTGTATCTGAGCATGTAAAGAGACACTTGTGTGTATCACACACACACACAACCATTCAAAATGTGTTGTTTTTATTTCATTAATATTTTTTAAGAAAACCATTGTAGAATTTGATTAATGTAAATACAATTAAAACTTTTTTTTTTACAGTTTGAAATCATTTTAGTTTTAGATATTATGCTGTTACTTTAGTTTTAGGATCAGGGTTGTAATTTTTAGATGTGATGGCAATTTTTTCAGAGGTCTAAGAAAGCCCTGTGTTACACAAAAATAAAGCTCATTACTCTCCCTGATGTCCTTCCAAACCTGTATGAGCTTCTTTCTTCTGTGGAACACAAAAGATACTGTAACCAAACAACTCTGGTGCCCACTGACTTCCACTGAATACAGAAAAATAAACATTAGGTTTGGAACCACATGAGGGTGAGTCAATGATGACTTTTTGGGTGAATTATGCTTTTATGAAATCCTTCTGTACTGATTCGGTCCTTTGGTAATATTCGCACAGCTTCATAAAGTGTAGAAACGGCACCACAGTGTGTGTTTTCAGCATTCAGGCCTCTTGCACTTTACACTTTATACAAACTCAGACACATTCCTCCATCTGCTGAGAGACGAAGGCTTTTCCCTACCGTCCGGACAGAAGAGAGCAAACCGGATCTCACAGCATCTCGACCCTTCAGAAACACACGCTTCATCTGTCAGTGAACAGAAGAGTCAGAGATGCTGCTGGCCTTCAGAAACATCTGACAAACGAGACCAAAAGGAAAAAGTGCTGCAGAAAGCATGAGCTGAAACTTCAGAGGACTCTTTTCACATGCAGAAATAAACTATAGCGGAACAAATAACGTCTGTCATGGGAAACTGAATTTTTGCTCTTGCTTTTTCACGACTTCACAAAATAGAGATGGATTACAGCAGAAGAGTCAAAGATATGCTATTTTATGTAAATTAATGGTCAGCATGTAATCCCAGGGACTTGTTGGTTTCAGAGTTGAGGGATTTGATTTGTACTGAAAAACCAAAAAAAAGAAGAGGAGACAAAGGCATCAAACATATTGCAGTTTTTATTATCCGTTTAGTTTACTAATGCAGTCACACATCAAGATAATAAAAACAATGACTGACATTACACATGCGCTTCTTACAGTCAGGAGATATTAGTGTCCAACATTTGTAACTAGTTGAGGAGCATTAAAAGAAGAATATGGTGTAGTTGTTGACAGTGACCTTGATGAAGTAAAAGGCCTGTGTGTAAATCCAGGATGCTCCTCTGTGTTGCTGAAGATCTCCACGGGTGAGTTCAGGGGACAACGCTGTGTTTATTGCCTAGTCAAAGCAGCAGCAGCAGCAGCCGCGAGAGACGACGCAGATGATGCTGTAAACACCTGTGTGTGCTGACTACTGAGCATTCAAACGAGCTGGTTACTGCTGGACGAGACCGAGCCCAGAGCCGCCTGACCTCCAGCGAAACGGCGTCGACAGGGATCTCATTATGCTCGGACTCTGACAGGACGGTATTGTGCGCTAGTGTGCAGCAGGACTCCAGATATGAAGTGAAGCACACAGTATGGTCAGTAAAGTGCGCATTCCTGCACGAACGCGCCGCTGCGCTACAAAGAGCAGATTATCGCGCCGCGTCGCAGCCGCGGAGAAACTCATTTGTCGCTGAAGTGCTGTGGAGTGACCTTCTCTGTGTGCGATGTGCCCTGCTAATTTACACACACAAATGGATCAAAGTCCTGCACAGAATCCGCTTTTGTTTTCACATGCAAATCGTGTTTTTATACATGAACTCTTTGCAGCGGGAATCAGACTGTCTCTTTGAGATGGACGCAGATCAATTTCAGACAAACAGGAGCTTAGCTTCACACACACACACACACACACACTCAAACGTGTGAATACACACCCTGTTCACAATAGGCATTTTTGTGAGTTGATGTAATCTTCTTAAATGACACAGATTCTTACTCATCTTAATCTCAGCTGTTTTTTACCCCACTTTTCAGCCATTTGACTGATTTCTCTGTAGGCCTCCTGACAATTATCTGGAAAAATGCAAAGCAAAATGACTGAATGATGATTTAGAATCTGCTGTGTGTGTTGTAGGTGGAACTGACCGGTAACAGCATCTTTGAGTACATTCATCCATCAGACCACGACGAGATGAGCGCCGTGCTGAGCACACACCAGCCGCTGCACCCACACTTCCTGCAGGGTACACACACACACACACACACACACACTCACTCACTCACTCACTCACTCACTCACTCACTCACTCA